CAATAGCTGGTGTTCAGAGGTAGTCCCATTTGAGTTGAGGTACATAGGTATGGGATGATATTTGACAAACCCTAATGCATGTATGTACTAAGACAGCATATGAAGTGGCAACAGGAATACTACCTCTTAATATCCTTGGTAGTTTAATGAAATGGCCACTCATATAATATTATGCAAGAGAAAGCAAGGCAGGGGCAGGTTGCTTTATAAAAGAATATTATGGCTATAAAATTTGGCACAAAGTAGTCTGAACCTACTGTCTGCAACTATAATGGAGGGGGGCAAAGAAGGAGAAAAAAAAAAAAGAGGTAGCACGTGGACAGAAATACTACACTTTATCTGAGCCTTCAAGAGGCTGAGAAGCGAAATCTTAGTAGTAACCTTGATGTATTATGCCCTATTAGCCTACCAAATTGTTTTGGTAATGTATTTACCCACCTTGTACAAGATGAAGCAGGAAGAGGTAAACTGTGCGTCTGTTCTAATGTTCTGTGTTGACTAGCTTCTGCAAAGAGGAACAAAAATGATCTTCCAACATTATTTGTTCAGAGCTTTTGATTTTAAAAACTTACTTATAGAGTGGGTAGACAGGGAGAGGCTTCCAGTACAAAGTTGCACTGCATATATGGGAAAAGGAAAGAGATAAATGTTTTACCTCTGTATGCCTGCAGTTGACTAGTTAGCACTTTCCTAATTTCCTTTACCCAGGTAGCTTTAATTTCAAGAGTGGGTGCCTATCACAGAAAATCAAAAGTCAGTAACCAAGTATGAAAAGCTTGTCACCTACTTGCTATGAACAAAAACACAACCAAGGAACAGCACTGAAGGAGGAATAAAAGCAACTTTACTTCAAGTCTTGGGTGAACAGGAGTTCACTATTAAATATTAGGCTAGGCTGAGGACATTACAGCACTGTCAGTTACAAAATAATTTGTTAGCTATGAGAAAATTAACTTGAGTTCTGTTATGGCAAAACATTTCCAAAGTGCTGTGATATCTATCATTTTTTTCATCATAAAGATCCTGATCCTGCAGACATGCACACAACTTTACATTGGCAACTAGTGCCTCCTGAGTTGGGGGGGAAGGGGGACGACACTCACAGAAGCTGGCAGCAGCAGCGGCGGTGGGAACAGGGCTGGCGGTCACCCGCAGAAGCTGCTGGCAGTGGGGACGGGGCACGTGCCCCCCCCATGCCCTCCCTACCAGCTGCCTATGCAACTTTACATGCCTGAGCAGTGGTTGTTATAGTCACAGGGCTGCTCAGATTTGCAATGTTAAAGATATGTATTAGCCTGTGCAAAGCGGCTAGTATTCGCTTCAGATTCGGCTGATTCAGGGGCCAGCAATTCAATTCGGTGATTTGAATCACTGTCCCGAATTGATTCAGCCAAATCTGATTTGGAGAATTGGCTGCTGCTGAATTTCCAAATCATCCAGGCCCATTCATCGCCCACTCTCCCAGCCCCGCAATGGCTGCCCTGCCTGTCCCAGCTCCCAGCACTTTGAAAAAAAAAAGCCCCGACTCACCAGGTGCTGCTGGGCAGGGGGTGATCCTTGCTACCCCCTGCTGCTCCATGCTGCATGCAGGGCTCTGCATGAGCCCCCCTGACTCCCCACCACTGTCCCAGCCCCCCCCCATGGCTTCCTTGCCCACCCCAGCTCCAGCCCTTTAAGGAAAAAAAAACAAAGAACCCTGCACTCACCAGTTCCTGCCCAGCAAGGGGTGATCCCTGCTGCCCCATGCCACAGGGGTCTCTTCCATGAGCCCCCCCCCACAAGCTCTGAGGCCGCTGCAGGAGCCGGTGAGTCTAGGGGTTTTTTTGTTCATTTTTTTCCCTTAAAGGGCCAGAGCTGGGGTGGGCGGGGTAGCCGTGGGGGAGTTGGGGGTGATTGTACATAGCCACTGATGCAGCATGGGGCAGTGGGGGGGGCAGCAGGGGTCACGCCCCCATCCAGCAGCACCTGGTGAGTGGGGGCTTATTTTTAAAGCACCAGTAGCTGGGGCAAGTGGGGCAAGCATGGGGGGGGCTGGGGGAGCAGGCAGGATATGGGTCTGGCAAAGGTTTGCCATGGTTCTCCCCTCCCCCCCACCACTTACCGGCTCCAAGTCCAGCTCCAGCTCTCTACTGCAGCAGGCAGGGACTGCCCAAAATCACCAAAGCTCACTGAGTCTTTTCCGAAGATTCGGAGAGCTTCAGAATCGATTCAGACCTTTTTATTGGTCCCCTGATTTGATTCGGATTCAGAGATTCGGCCACTGAATCGGGCTGGGATCTCCTCCAAATCAAATCAGCACTCGAAGCTTCGCACAGCCCTAATACCTATCGGTTCTTGCACAAGGTTTACTCCATTTTTCAGTCAACATCACTGGTGACAGGTCACAAAACTACTGGGTTGCAACCATGGATTAGAAAGTCTCCACTGCGTAATAGGTTTCATAATACTGCATCTCAAAATGCTTTAATCAAGTAGAAAAAGCTATGATTTTACTCTTGATATCTTATCAGAGGAAGATTCTCTACTCCTCTAATATAGGAAATGTATTTTAGGAAAGAAAAAAGCTTTCAGCTGAGTGACTTACTACACTCAGTGGGTAAGTTTTCATAGCTCTATGGACTTCAACTGAGTAACA